AATAATATCAAAATCAAAGAAAATGTGCTTGCAAAATATTTGCAATGTATGTGTATCAGAGGAAAAAGTATGTCTTCCTTTTACAGGGAAGCCTTTAAAATCAACAAGAAAAAACTCGAGTTTGAAAGTGGACAAAGTGCTTTTTGCATAAGTATAAGTTACCAGCAGACAAGGAAAAAATATTTAGTGTTCCTGGTAAGAAAAGGAATAAGTTAAAAGAGGAGTTAAATAATATTTTCCATCCACAAAATTTGTGAAGTTGACCAGCAATTGTCTTTATATTGCTACTTCCAATTTAAGTTGCTTTTGATTTTGAAATAGGAAATTTGATGCTGAGTACCACACTTAACATATGTATTCTCTATAAACATCAATTCTCTTTATACTAAAATATCATTATGAAATAATTAAATTACAGAATTTGTTTTACTCAGCACTTCTTAAAATAGCAGTGTATTAATAAGAAAGACTCAGCTTGGTTATACATACAAACAGACTATGATCTTCTGTTATGGAAAAATATGTGCAAAATGTGATAAAATTTATTTCTGAGCATTTGTATTATAAACTAGAGGCCCGATGCACAAAAATTTGTGCACTCGGGGGGGGGGTCCCTCAGCCTGGCCTGTGCCCTCTTGCAGTCTGGGACACCTCGGGGGATGACCACCTGCTGGCTTAGGCCCGCTCCCGGGGAGATTAGGCCTAAGCTGGCAGTCAGACATCCCTCTGGCAGCCCAGGAGCCCTTAGGGGATGTCCATTTGCCAGTGGAGAGCAAGCCTAAGCTGAGGTCAGACATCCTTAGTGCTTCTGAGGAGGGAGGAGAGGCTCCCACCACCACCACTGTACTGGCAGCTGGCAACCTGGCTTGTGGCTGAGCAGAGCTCACCCCTGTGGGAGCGCACTGACCACCAGGGGGCAGCTCCTGCATTGAGCATCTGCCCCCTGGTGGTCAGTGTGTGTCATAGTGAACAGTCATTCCCAGTTCTGCTTTTAGAGTTAATTTGCATATTACCCTTTATTATATAGGATGAACATTTCCTTTAATGAACATATACAGACATTCTAGTAAATATTATGAATTGATTTCTCACTTTCTGTTTTTTGGAAAATTTTTTGAGATTTGGTATCTTCTGACATCTATTGGCCTCTTCAGAAGTAAAGAGAATATTTTTATGTTTAGTTGGTGTTTACTGTTGACACTGTTACAGATGTCCCCCATTTCACCACCTTAGTGCCCTTCCACCCAGCCCCCTTCAGCCTTCACACACTGTTGTCTGTGTCCATGGGCTGTGCACATATGCACATATGTTCTGCGGCTAATCTCTTCCAGTTCCCCCACCCCTTCCCTCTGAGATCTGTCAGTCTGGCCCATGTATCCATGCCTCTTCTCCTATTTTGTTTGTCAGTTTATTTTGTTTGTTAGATTCCACATGTAAGTGAGATCATATGGTATTTGTCTTTCTCTGAGTGGCTTATTTCATTTACCATAATAACCTCCAGATCCATCCATGCTGTGGGTATAAGAGCTCCTTCTTTTTTACAGCAGCGTAGTATTCCATGGTGTAAATGTACTACATCTTTTTCATCTACTTATCTACTGATGGGCACTTGAGTTGTTTTTCACCTATGCCTGTAAGCACATCATATGTGTTTTACTTCATATAGCTTTATTACATATAATATGTAAATGATTATAGATTAATCTTTTTAGTTGTGTGGTTATAAAAATGAAACATTCAAAATAGTGCCCTGACTAGTATGGCTCAGTTGGTGGGAGCATCGGCTGGTACCCCTCCTGTACACTGAACGGTCTCAGGTTCTTTTCAAGTCAAGACTCCTATCCAGGTTTCTGGTTTGATCACTGCTTGGGTGGGGTGCCTATGGGAGGCAACCAATTAATGCTTCTCCTTCACCTCGGTGTTTCTCTCACTCTCTCCCTCTCCTTCCCTCTCTCTCTCAAATCAATTAAAACTAATTTTTAAAAAACATTTAAAAATGTTCTTTTTGTTTTATTGTTGACAGTATTACAGACTTCTCCCATTTTTTCCTTTTTTGTCCTCCCTCCACCCAAACCCCACCCCACCAGGCAACTTTCCCATATTATTGTCTGTGTCCATGGGTTATGCATATACGTTCTTTGCTTGATCTTTTCCTGTCCTCCCACTACCACCCTGATATCTGTTGATCTATTCCATGCATCCAAAGCTCTGGACATATTTTGTTCATCAGTATGTTTTCTTCATTAGATTACACATATAAGTGAGATCATGTGATGTTTTTCTTTCTCTAACTGGGTCTTTTTCTTTAAAAAAGTAATAAAATAGAAAATATAGGAGAACCATGGCCTGTGGGGATCGGCCGAAACAGGCAGTCCAACACCACCTGCCGCTCCTGCCTGCCACTTTGGCTCAGCCCAGCCCACTGCACTTGCCCCCACCGCTGCTCCTGCTGCTCTGCTGCAGTCTCCGGGCTGTGGCGGCCAGCCTTAAGCCCTGTAGCTGGCGCCTGTCCATCAGCTGAGCCACACTCCTGCTGTGGGAGCACACTGACAACCAGGGGCAGCTCCTGTGTTCAGTCTCTGCCCCCTGGTGGTCAGTTCACATCATATTTACTGATCGAGCAGTCCCTTAGGCTTTTATGTTTATACTAGAGGCCAGCGCACAAAATTGAGTGTCCCTGCCCACTCACATGCGCTCCGCTAATCGGCACACCCCCCCCCACACGCGTGAGCCTCACTGTGCCCGCCTCACTGCACCCACTTTCCACAACCACCCGCCCATCTCCCAGCCACCGGCTGGCCGCCAGCCTTGCTGTGATCGGAGCTTGTGGGCTGTGGGGGAGGGACTGAGAGGTGCTCCATGCACCTCCTGGTGACTGGTCATTTGGTCATTACGGCATGAAGGCATTATGTCCACTGGCCTTTTTATAATATAGAATAGTGGCCCAGGGCATGAAATTCGTGCACATTAAAAGGGAATTAATTAGAGGAAATATTTTAATATTGCTATTTGCCCTTTCTCTATAAAAGAAGTATCAGAGCTGAAAGAAAATTAGTAAAATGTACAGAGTCAAGTTCCCAGCCACCCGCTGCACCTCGAAATCGCACGAGACCCAGACCAGCCACCCGCTGCACCTTGAAATCGCATGAGGCCCAGACCTGGCAGAACCCAGCCCCATTGTGCAAGATCCAGCCCCAGCCAGCCCCACCACCATCAATCCTCGCCGGGTGGGGGGGGTAAAGCCTCAGGTACCCCGGCCTGGCACCAGGGCAAGGGGCATGCCCTGAGATTACCCATCTACCCCTGCCAGACGGGTGGCGCAGCCTCAGGTCCCCACCCCGACTCAGCACCATACAGCCGCAGGTCCCTGCTGATTGCTCATTATGGCTTGTTACAGGAACCCTGCCTTTGCTGTGGGCATAGCCATCTTGTGATGGCCTGATGGAGTGAGGGTCAATTTGCGTATTATCTCTTTATTATATATAGGACTAGAGGCATGAAATTCATGCATGGGGGGTTCCCTCAGCCCCGCCTGCACCCTCTCCAATCTGAGACCCCTCAGGGGATGTCCCACTGCCGGTTTAGGCTTGTGGGATCGGGCCTAAACTGGCACGGATCAAGCCTAAACCATCAGTCGGACATCCTTCTCACAATCCGGGACCCCTGGCAGCTAGCCGCTCACCTGCCTGCCTGCCTGATTGCCCCTAACCACCTCTGCCTGCCTGTCTGATGGCCCTTCACTGCTCTCCCCTGCAGGCCTGATCACCCCTTACTTCTCTCCTCTGACAGCCTGATCATCCCTAACTACTCTCCCCTGCTGGCCTGATCACCCCTAACCACCTCTGCCTCGGCCCCCGCCACCATGGCTTTGTCTGGAAGACATCCGGAAGGACATCAAAAGATGTCTGGTCTATCTGGTCTAGTTAACATATTACCCTTTTATTAGTATAGATAGATAATATTCCATTGTGTAGGTATACCACTGGTTTTTAATCCACTCATCTGCTGCTGGGCACTTAGGCTGTTTCCAAATTTTAGCTATTATAAATTGTGCTGCTATGAACATAGGGGTGCGTATATTCTTTCTGATTGGTGTTTCTTTTTTCTGGTGATATTTTCCTAGAAGTGGGATTGCTGGGTCAAATGGAAGTTCCATTTTTAATTTTTTGAGGAAACTCCATACTGTTTTCCACAGTGGCTGCACCAGTCTGCACTCCCACCACAGCAGTGTACAAGGATTCCTTTTTCTCCACATCCTCACCAGCACTTGTTGTTTATTGATTTGTTGATGATAGCCATTCTAACAGGTGTGAGATGGTACCTGGTTGTCATTTTAATTTGCATCTCTTGGGTGATTAGTGACTTAGAGCATCTTTACATATGTCTCTTGGCCTTCTGTAAGACATTCTGAATTAAAAATTGGATTCCAATGTCAGAGATGTTAAAGTGAGAGAATATAAGCATTTTAGAATAATTGAAATTCTGTGTTCTTTCTAATCCTTAAAACACATATGCAAAGTAGGTATAATGATATCAGTTTGCTAACTGACATGTTGTCTTTGTAAAGTGGCGGTAATAGTAATAATGATACTAATACCACAATTATTAAGCTGTTTCTTATGTGCAAGTTACTGTAGTAAACACTTTGCATAGATTCTCATTAAAACAAACAGTGGTGTCCTGTGAGATTCCTATTATTTTTATCCCCATTTTGTTGATGAGGAAATTGAGGCCCAGAAAGGCCAAGTGACAGCTAATAAGTGACAATTAAAACAGGATCAGAACCAAGTTGAGCTGAATTCCCAGGTCATCTCTCCGTATTCAAATAGGCTTTTCCTTCACTAATGTGGTAACAAAAACTAATAAATATTGTACTGTCTCCAGAAGAAAATTAAATATTTGCTTTGAAGGCATAGAGAGAAATGTTTACAATTATGTGGATATTATATGCTTTCATCTGGTGCCCTCTAATTCTCTAAGCAGTCCTCTCACTTTCATAGGACTGCTTTGCATGTGGCCTGTTGCAAGGGCCATCCGAGAGTGGTGAGACTGCTAACACGCAGACATTGCCTATTGAACCTCTGTGACATTGACAACAAAACAGCTCTCATTCACGTATGTATTAGCAACTATGTCAACACGAGGGGGGTTTAATTTAATTACTTAGAATAAAAATGAGTTTGTCTCATTTAACTAGAAGACATTATTGAAACTTGTGGAATGTTTACTTTGAATTCCTAGAACTTATAATCTACTTCTTGGCATAATACTGACAGGCTATACAATATGACCAAGAGGAATGTGCAACCATTCTTCTAGACCATGGTGCCAATCCAAATGTAATGGACATCCATGGCAACACTCCTCTTCACTATGCTGTCCTTGGCCACAATACAGCGATAGTGGAAAAGCTACTTTCCTGTATGGCAAATATGGAAGCAAGAAATAAGGTATAGATCAAGTAACTTTATTTACAAAATATTTGAAATACATGTTTTTACTTTAGTTTCAAGCCTTTTAAAAATGATATGTTCTACTAATTTTAAAGAGAAAGGAAAGGAGAGGGAGAGAGAGATATATATAGAGAGAGAATTATCCATTGTCAGCCTCCTGCCCATCTCGTCTGGGGATTCTGCCCACAAACTGGACATGTGCCCTGACCTCCTGGTTCAAGGGTCAGAAGTCAACCACTGAGCCCCACTAGCCTGCAACAAGGACTTTCTTTCTTTCTTTCTTTCTTCCTTTCTTTCTTTCTTTCTTTCTTTCTTTCTTTCTTTCTTCTTTCTTTCCTTCCTTCCTTCCTTCCTTCCTTCCTTCCTTCCTTCCTTCCTTTCTTTCTTTCTTTCTTTCTTTCTTTCTTTCTTTCTTTCTTTCTTTCTTTCTCCTTCCTTCCTTCCTTCCTTCCTTCCTTCCTTCCTTCTTCTCCTTCCTTCCTTCCTTTCTTCCTTCCTTCCTTCCTTCCTTCCTTCCTTCCTTCCTTCCTTCCTTCCTTCCACACAAAGATTTTCTTTCTCACATACATACACTGAATACAATAGATCAGGCCCTATCACCATGGAAACACTCCAAAGCCCACGCAGGGAGGGCTGGAGAAATGTAGTGTCCATGGAAGGGGCAAAGCTCTGCCTCCCAGAAACCCTTCCACCCCAGAAGGAAGAACTTCCTGTTAGTGCCTGGGAGTGGGAGATGGGCTCAGAGCCCACTAAGGCTGAAGGCCTGGGGGAGTGAAGTGATGCTGGGGCCTGGCTGCTGTGCTGGCAGGGGCTTAGGAAATGGTGCTGCTGGGGATGGGTGGGAGGAGGAGGCCTAGTCCCAGCAAGGGGAGCTGGGTGAGTGCAAGAGGGAAGAGGAAGCCCCAGTCCACAGGCAACAAAATAACAACAGGACACCACGATAGGAACACAGATTCTGGGAACCCGTACTGTAAATGTTGGAAGTGAGATTTGGAGAAGGATGCTGCAGTTAATCTGTTGAAGAGGCAGTGAGGGGGCATTTTAAAGGGAAGAACAGCCATTGACTGCACAGGGATGAGAAGATAGGGGCTCCTTTTATTTATTTTTTCCTCCTCACCAGAGTGTTTCCCCTCCTCCATTGATTTTAGAGAAAGTGGAAGGGAGCGAAGGATTGCGGGGTGAGAGAGAGAAACATTAATGTGTGGGTGCCTCCTGCATAGACCCAGACCAGGGCAAGGGACCAAATCTGCAACCCAGGTACAATCTCTTGAATGGGAATCAAACCTCGACCCTTCCATGAGCAGGCCAATGCTCTAACCAGTGAGAACACTAGCCAGGGCAAAAGGGGCTACTTTTTATTTACATTCTATATTATATGTGTAAGTTCAATGGATCTTTTGTAAGTTTTAATGTGCAGTTTGTATATATATACACATACATATATATATATAATTTAATAAATTATAAACTGTTTTTCTGTTTATACAGGATGACTTCACACCACTTTCACTTGCTAAATATGAAAACAGAGAGAAAATGGTGGAATTTTTAGTAACTAGAGCTTCAAAAATCAATCACATGGAAAGGTACAATTGTTCATTCCTTGTTTTATATTTGGAGGGTACATTTATTAAAGCTGGGGCCAGTGAAACAATGAAGGGCTTAGTTGGAACTATTCTAAGCTGTCAGAGAGACTGAAATAAAGCTGCAGGAAAAGACCAGACTTTCTCCTTTGTTACCAGATCTGCCCCCCAAGGACACTAGAACATCTTTGTTTAGGTAATAGAAGGTCCCATGTTGCCTTTCCCAGAGAAGTAGGCAGCAGCCTGCCTGAGACTCCATAATTGAGGTTGGCCCCTCAAAGTATCTCTTTGCCATAAGAATGAAACATTCCCAAGTGAGTTTAATTTACCTCAGGTTTCAAAATATTTTAAATTATGCCTCACATGGAAGCCAGTTAGAACTCTCTGATTCAAGAGTAGGTTATTGGTCCTTACAATTGCTAAGGCCTCATCATGACTCATCAGTATCCATTAGTGACAGGTAGGATTCTGTCATCCAAGCCAATTGGGTGTGGACAGAGATATTAAGCATCATTCTCATAAAGATCTGCTGGTTCACAGTGCGAGTAGATAGGGAAGGGATAGTAGTGGTCCAGGCCACGTCCTGACTTCTATTAGCTTTCTGCAGTCGGCATGATTCACAACAAAAATAAGGGAACATTGTGTTATCTGACTTCATGAGGTAATGTATTTATACATACATTTAGTTGCAAGTTATATAGTAGCTAAAAAACCCTGAATTACAAACCACAAAGAAAGAATAGGTAATAACCAAAATCCTATATAATAAAAGCCTAATATGCTAAGTGTCTGGTTGTCTGTCATCCGTTCAACCAATAAAAGCATAATGTGTTAATGATATGCTAAGGCTGCTCAACTGTTCGCTATGATGTGCACTGACCACCAGAGGGCAGATGCTCCAACTGGTAGGTTAGCTTGCTGCTGGGGTCCAGCCAATTGGGACTGAGCGAGACGGGCCAGACATGCCCTGGAGCTCTCCTGTGGTCCCTCCCCGGCTGGCCAAACTCCTGCTTCCCTCCCCGGCTCCAATTGTGCACCAGTGGGGTCCCTCTGCCTGGCCTGCGCCCTCCCTCAATCCAGGACTCCTCAGTGGGGCGCATTGACTGTCAAGTAGTTCCATCCTATGTAATAAAATGCTAATAGGCAAGTCAACCAAATGGCAGAATGACCAATTGCTATGACACACACTGACCACCAGTGGGCAGAAACTTAACACAGGAGCTTCCCCCTGGTAGTCATTGCACTCCCACAGGGCAGTGTCACTCAGCCAGAAGCCCTGAGATGGCCTCATGAGTAGCAAGCACAGTGGCAGTGGTGGGAGCCTCTACCACAGTGATTCCCAAAGTGGGCACTACTGCCCCCCGGTGGGCGCTGCAGCAATCCAGGGGGGCGGTGATGGCCACAGGTGCATTTGGGGGCAATGAGTAACTGCTATTAAAATTTTAAAAAAATTAATTTCCAGGGGCTGAGTAATATTTTTTCTGGAAAGGGGGCGGTAGACCAAATAAGTTTGGGAACCACTGCTCTACCACCTCCACTGCAGCACTAACGATGTCCGACTGCTGGCTTGAGGGCAAGCCTAAGCCAGCAGTTGGACATCCCCCGGGGCTCCTGGACTGCGAGAGGGCACAGGCCAGGCTGAGGGACCCCGCTGCCCCGAGTGCACGAATTTCGTACACCGGGTCTCTAGTTAATATTTTCTGAGAACTGCAACATTTGAATGTTAGAAACTATGAAAAACCCACATTGGGATTCCATTGGGATTCTAAATTAGTTTCAAAAAATAAAGCTCATGATGAGAGTTTTCCTTTGCCTTGCTGTTTCTCCAAGCATCTCTTTTTGCTGTCTTATTTCGTTTAATTATTCAAACAACCTTCAAAAGTAAGGTAGTAAAACTCTTATTTTGTAGAGGAGGACCTTGAGCCATAGAAAAGTGACTTGCTTGACAAAAAGTAGCTGTTGGTTATAGAACAGGGATGTCTGAGTTCAAGAGACTTGCCATTATGTCAAGTTAACTCTAGTTATTTCATCAAACTCTATTACCCTCAAATCATGTTTCGTGCTTTAAAAAAAAAAATTACATGCTTCATAAGAAGTTTGTAGAACTTACAAGTTTGAAGTGTATAGTAGAATTAAAGTTTTAATATTGACTCTGATGTTATCTGAAATATTCTAAGAATTTACAATATTAGGGAAATATTTTTATGTTTGTATTGACAGAGTAATATTATTTATAACCTTTTTTATTGATAGCGAACAACAACTACCTTCGAAATATAAAGAAGAAAGACCTATAAGATCTTCTGACGGTAGCAATCTTGGTAAGACTTCTGATAGTGAATTACTCTTGGTGGTCCTACCATGGGTGAATTAAGAGTAAGTTTTCCTAATGAAAGAGCAATAAAAGAAACCCCACAAATAATGTGTAAGTTGCATGTATAGTTTTTCTTAATCTCTTCCTTAATAGAATAGTATTCAGTATTATTAAAACAGTTAATATAGGTAATTTTAAAACCTGGGGCAACAGTGTTTGAAAAGAGGTTCATTTATTTAGTCCTTAACCCTAAAATCCTATATGATATCTTTATGTAAAAAAGAAAAATGACTTTAAGTTACATTGTTGTATGTTTCCTCTATATTCACTTTGTAACTAATTGGACTTGTTTTAAAAATGAATCTTTTGTTTAGTTTTTACAGCCAGTAGATTACATTTAGTAAATGAAAACCTGTTTTTTCATAGTGATTTGTCTCACTAAAAAAGTCACCAAAACTGGGAACTCAACAATACTTTCCTGGTACCACAAACAAATGGCAAACAATAGGAACTACAGCACTTAGTGTGTGACAATCTCAATGAGATTGTTTTTCTTGATTTCAGAGAGGAAGGACAAGGAAGAGGCATAGGAACATCAATGATGAGAGAGAATCATTGATCACCTGCCTCCTGCACACCCCACACTGGGGATCGAGCCTGCAAAGGGGGCCTGTGCCCTGACCGTGAATCGAACTTTGATCTCCAGTTTCATAGGTCAATGATCAACCACTGAGCTGTGCTGGCAGGGCCCAAGGAGGTTATTTTTCAAAGATACCTACCAACAGCACAGAAGTCAGAAAGGCCAAACCTGTGGAGAATCATGGAGTATTTCATATATAATGCCAACACGATCTCACTGTTATCACCTTTATTCCTCAGAGGTCAAAACAGAATGAGATATGATGATTCAGTAGAACAAGATGTTTCCTTCTGTTTGTTGGATAATTGTCAGGACATTGTCATTTCTTAGAACAAGATGCTCTGTTACCATTGATCAGAAAGTAATCATAATAAGTATTCAAATAACCCAATTCAGGACTCTACAAATTACAATAAAAGTACAAAAGTGTTTCACAATGACAAAAATCCCATATTGCTACCCAGATGTGGCTCCTAGTTCATTGTGCAATCGGAAATGTATGAGGACACCTTGGACTTGGTAGACCTTCATCAGAGGACTTGTGTAGGCCGGTTTTGCAACTTTTAGGAAATACAAGGATGAAATGGTGTTTTGACCCTGAAGTTTCTCATAATATGAGAGCGCCGTCCCTGGTTTATTTCTGTTTTTTTTGTGTGTTTTTTTTCAGCAGGATTTTCCATTTTTTTTCAAAATTTAATTATTAATTTACTTACTGGTCTACTATTTAACTCTTAGGTGCCTTTTAGGTACTGAATGACATTCTTATGTTGCAGAATTGAAATATTTTAAAAACACAGTCCCTGCCCTCTAAGAATTTGTTAATGTCATTGTCATTCCTATTACTTACTATACTTTATTCAGTGCTTACCAGGTGGTAGAATGCACTAGGACTTTATAATTATCTTTTTTTTTATTGATGTGTAGTATGTGCCAGTCACTTTAAGTCCATGATGAGAATTAGAGTTTTAAAAATGTGGGTGAGGCCTTGGCCCTGTAGGTCAGTCCTTAAAGCATTGTTACCAATATGCCAAAGTTGTGGGTTTCATCCCTGGTCATGGTACATACCAGAACCAACCAATGAATGCATAAAAAAGTGGAACAGTAAGTCAAAGTTCTCTCCTTTTCTCTCTCTAATCAATGTTTTTAAGTAGTTAAAAATCAAATAAAAATAAAGGTGTGCTTGCACCCCAGGCCTTCCTCCCTTTCTTTTCCCACAGGGATGCATCTCCCAAACTCTGAGGGACCCCAGGAGGCTTACAACCAGAGCAACAGTGGTCAGTGGCAATTTATCCCGGGCAAACCCTCTAAACCTGTCCCCAAGACCCTCTTTTGTCTGACTACTTAGTGAGCCTAGGCTCACTTCCCCATCCCTTTCTTGTTTCACGATCCCCAACTTTAATAAATGTCCTCTAAAATTCACACACACACACTATAAAAATTAAAAAAATTAAAATGTGGGTGGGATTTAAAGTGAGCATGCAGATGGAGGAGAAGTTTGCCAGGTAAAGGGCCAGAAGGGTTATGTTTGGCAGGGGGAACAGGTATTGCGATTACACGTTAGGCAGCAGGAACAGCAGGGCAAGAGCTAAGATGTACACCTGAAGTTTATGGGATTCACGAGCAGTACCATTTCAATGTGAAAATGTGCGCTACGGGAACGGTTGGGAATGGGGTGAGTGCTTAGCTAAGGCAGGCTTATGAAAGCTGTTAGTACTACAGAAAGGACTAGATCTTATCTTGTAGATCTTGGGGACTTATCAGAATGCTGTTAGCTTCAGATAATAGGTGGCCTAATTAAGAGGCCGAAACAATAGGAACCAGGATTGTTTTGGTGGCTCAGTGATGACATAAGGATCCCAGGTGTTGTCCCTTATTCAGCTGTGAGGTTGTCAGTGTTTATGTCTGCTTTCCTGGTCAGTAATTGGCTATGGCTCCAAAGCAACCTTTTCTCATATGGCAATATGTGAAGGCCAAAGCACTGCTTTGTTCATTTTTAATTTTTTTAAAAGTCTACTTGGCACACAATATATTACTTTCAGGTGTATGACATAGTGGTTTGACGTTCACATATCTTATGATGGGTTCACAGTGAAAAGTATAGTAACCATCTGTCACCGAGCAAAGTTATTACAATAATTAACACATTCTCTGTGCTGTGCACTAGATCCCAGTGGCTTACATATTTTATAACTGGAAGTTTTTTTTTTGTTTTTTTTAAATATATTTTATTGATTTTTTACAGAGAGGAAGGGAGAGAGATAGAGAGTTAGAAACATCGATGAGAGAGAAACCTCGACCAGCTGCCTCCTGCACATCTCACACTGGGGATGTGCCCTCAACCCAGGTACATGCCCTTGACCGGAATCGAACCTGGGACCCTTGAGTCCGCAGGCCGACGCTCTATCCACTGAGCCAAACCGGTTTCGGCTATAACTGAAAGTTTTCACTTCTTATTCATATTCTTTATTTCATCCCTCTCCTCAACTATCCTCTGGCAACCATCAGTTTGTTCTCTGTAGCTACAGGGTGTGTTTCTGTTTTGTTGTTTTAGATTGCACAGGTAAGTGAGATCAAACAGTATTTGTCTTTCTTTATCTTATTTCACTTAGCATAACACCCTTTTGGTCCATGCATGTGGTCCTAAATGGCAAGATTTCATTCTTTTTTATGTCTGAGTATACATGTATATACACACATATATAATCTTATATATATAATTTTATATATATAAGCATATATATATATATATATGCTTATATATTTATATATATAAGCATAACCAATTTTATATACATACACCTTTGAACCAAGGTGTATACTGCACCTTCTTTATTCATTTATCTATGGAAGAACATCTATGCTGCTTCCATATCCTGGCTATTGTAAATCTTGCTGCAGTGAATATAGGTGTGAATATCTTTTCAAATTCGTGTTCATGTTTCTGTTGGATACATATCCCGAAGTGGAATGGCAGTTCTATTTTCAATTTTTTGAGGAGTGTCCATGCTGCTGTCCACAGTGACTGTACCAATTTACAATCACTTGAACAGTGCACGAGGCTTTCTCTTTTCTCCATATTCTCACCAAAACTTATTAGTTATTTATATTTTGATGACAGCCATTTTGAGAGGAGTGAGCTGGTACTTCATTAAGGCTTTCATCTGCATATCCCTGGTTAGTGATGTTGAGATATGTGCTTTCTTTAACTTAAAAAAACAAAACGAACAGACTGTCAAACTACAGCAGGAAGACTGGGGAGGGTTGGAGGGGGAGGGGGTAAGAGATCAACTGAAGGACTTGTATGCATACATATAAGCATAACCAATGGACACAAGACACGGGGGGGTAGGGGAGGCTGGGGGAAAGTCAAGGGGGGAAAAAGGAGACATGTGTAATACTCTTTGTAATACTTTAAGCAATTAAACAAATTTTAAAAAAAGAATAATAACCAAGATTGAAATGTAATTGAACTCTTTATGTGATTAAAAATGTTTTGAGAAATTAGTTTACACATCAAAAAAAATATGGTTTTATTGATATTTAGTGAGAGAGGATAGGAAAGGGAGAGAGAGATGGAAATAGCAATGAGAACTATCACATTGATCTGATGCCTACTGCCCACCCGTTCTGAGTATCAAGCCTGCAACCCATGTGGCCTGAGTGGGAATAGAACCAGGGACCTCTTGGTGCATGGGATAATGCTCAAGCCTCTGAACCACACTGGCCTGGCCTATGTGTTTCCTGTAAATAGGGAGAAAATGGACAGACTTTCAGTTGACTTCCTCTAGCAGTGGTTCTCAACCTTCCTAATGCGGCGACCCTTTAATACAGTTCCTCATGTTGTGGTGACCCCCAACCATAAAATTATTTTTGTTGCTACTTCATAACTGTAATTTCACTACTGTTATGAATCATAATGTAAATATCTGATATGCAGGATGTATTTTCATTGTTACAAATTGAAAATAATTAAACCATAGTGATTAATCACAAAAACAATATATAATTATATGTGTGTTTTCCGATGGTCTAAGGCAACCCTTGTGAAAGGGTTGTTCGACCCCAAAGGGGTCTCGACCCGAAGGTTGAGAACCACTTTAGAGTAAAGTTTTATAGGCCTGAGTTACATCACATGCTTATTCCTAAACCAGTTATTGATAAACTAGGTAATGTGATGAGCTTAGTATAATCATTTCCCTTTTTGGAGTTGGGGAGACACCACCTTCTTTGTGTATCAGGGCAGTAAATGTCCAAATACAGTTGTGGTTGTCCAGCAAGAATGAAGACTGATGTAGGGAGCCAGCAGTGTTTACTGCAGAGATTCATGGGAGTTTTGAGCGGAAGAGGAACAAGATGAGATTTGATTATGGCCCTCTGGTTGTGATAGGACAGAGGGATCAGCAGGCTTTTTCTGTAAAGGGCCTGATTTTAGGCCATGTGGTCTGCCATATCTACTCAAGTCTGCTATTGTGGTGTGAGGGCAGTCCTAGAGAATCTGTAAGTGAACAGGCATGGCTGTGTTCCAGTGAGACTTTATTTGTAAAACCAGATGGCAGCTCGTATTTGGCCTGTGGGCCCTCCTTTGCTGACTGACCCCTCATGTAGTGGGTACATAAAGAAATGTGCTTTTGCCTCCTTGGACTAGCATCAGTCCATTATGAAGTTTTCACCCATCCATACAGAAATGAGTCAGGAAGCTATATTTACTCCATTTTAAATGTTGCTTTTTTTCTAGGTCTATGTCTTTCTCACTTTTTCTGCTTAAAAAATTTTATTAATTTAAGATGGAACAATAATAGTTGGTGGTATTTCCCTCCCTATGAAAGCCATTTCTTAAGAGCCCATGTTTGACTAGGGCAGTTGACAGTAGCAAAATAAGTGGAGATAGTAGGAGGCTAAGTTCATATGATTTCCTGGTGATTGCATGCAAAAGTGGCGAGGAGAAAGAAATCTAAGGTGACCGATAGGTTTCCAGGTAGTGCACTGGCATTTAGGTCGGACATGAAGACTAGGACTTTTTCATATGAGCAAGAAAGGGCAACAGTTCAACTGGAAAGAGCAGTAAGTTTCCATACATGTTGAGTTTGATGGAATATCCATGGATATCCCTACATTTTAGATACAATTTCTTTGACTTTGACTTGGCCTGCCAATAACTGCCTTAAACAGATGAACCATGATTTTAGTTTTATAATAAATTAGGAACAAGTTAGGGAAGAATTCTGTAAGCACAAGGATACTATTATACTAATATGATAATTATTGTTTTTCTGTAGTTATCACAGTTACTTGATTGATTCATAACTATTCTAAAAAGGAGTTAAGCCCTGCTTAGTTGAAGAAAATTGTCAGTGTGATGTTTTCCTTTTCTTGAGCGGAACTTCCATGTTATAGAACATGTTGCCAATCATTAGGGCTCTGTATTTTCTATTCTGAGGAAATAGGGTTGTTGCTTGTTTCACATTGTTTTCTGACATCATTGTTTTATTTATCCCTTTCTATGCCTTTCTTCCAATAGCTGCAGATCTACAGGAATCTCCAAAACAAGCACTGAGCAAAACAAAATCAAAGACAGGTATTCTGTGCAATCAGCTTCTGACTGTAATTATATATAACACCTCAAATCAAATAATAACAACTTCACATAATGCAATTTTGTTAAAGATCCTAAACCCACACCTAAGTTTGCTTATTCACTAGAGAGATTTATAGGACTCAGCATATAGTTGTACTCATACCTGAGATTTATTACAGTGAAAGACCAAAGTAAAACCAGCAAAGAGAAAAGGTTTGCCTGTGACAAAGGGTGGAGGAAACCAGGCACAAGCTTCCAAGAGTCCTCTCCCTGCGGAGTTACCAGGAGGTCTTCATTACTCCAGGGTCAAATTCTGACAACACATGTGAACTATGTCATCTGCCAGTCCGGTTAGACTCAGTGCCAAGGTTTTTATGTCATGCTAACCACATAGGCATCTTCCCCATAGCATGTACCAAAATTCCAGATTTCCAAAAGGAAAGCCAGTGTTCAACATGAACACCATTGGTTGTACAAAATGTTTAGGCACAGGGAGCCTCTATTATCAGTTTGGAAAATGTGAAAACCCTGCTCGGATTCAGATTTTCAGACACCAACTGAAGGCTATGCGTTTAAGCAGGACTTTCTAAGGAGAGCAGACTTGAGCCTGCTGCAGGAAATGTTTCTGCACAGCAGGCATAGCACTGACGAATCTTTGGCGCTCATCTACAATTTTATTTTAAAAACAAGTAATATAACATGGTACTAGTTTCAGTCACATCATCCATAATTGCCTGCAATGCTGATTACATTTGTGACTCTCGGTGAGTATTTAACAGGTATTTGTACATAAGTTACTAGTGCAATATTAGGGAATGATAAACGTTTCTTTTTATCCAATTACCGTTTCAAGATAATTTTTAGATAAAATCAGCATAATAATTTCTGATTTAAAATTAGAATAAAAAGTGTCTTTTAATTACAAATAAAAAATCACTTTTTATTTGTGTTGCACTAAATCCCCATTTATAATTATCAAGTAAGATTGGTATACTTACCAATTATTTTCTTGTCGTAGTTTACAATTAAGATTATTGGCTTTATTTATGTCTTTCCATATGCTTCACTCAATTTGGGATAATACCCATATTCTGATCTTTATGTTAATTTCTATGGTGACTGTGTCTTGAAAATAGCATTAATATGTTGATATATATTAATAGCAGATTCAGCGGATACATTTTTTAAAGAAAAATTAATAAGCCTTATTTTTTGAGCTGTTTTAGATGCACAGCAACATTGAGCTGAATGTAGAGTTCCCATCAACCCCACAGCCCCTACACACACAGCCTTGCTCATTTTTGACTTCCTGCACCAGAGAGGTACATTTATTACAACAGATGGACGCGCATTGACACATCATTATCAACGAAAGCCCACAGTTTACCTGAAGATTCACTCTTGGTGTTGTACATTCTATGGGTTTTGACAAATGTATGATGACACATATCCACCATCAAGAGTATCGTATAGAATTGTTTCATTATCCTAAAAATTCTCCCTGCTCTGCTTATTCATTCCTACCTTCTCCCTAACCCTTGGAAACCACTGAACTTTTTTTTTTTTACTGTCTCCATAGTTTTGTATTTTCCTGAGTGTTGTATAGCAGGAATTATGCAGTGGGTATCTTTTTGAGTGTTTAAAAAATTAAAATGCTAAGGTAATTGGATGTAGTTATCCAAGATGTTCTTTGAACTTTGTGGTTTGTTGTTGTTGTTCATCAGCATAGACTATGATGACATATGCGGTACAAGCTGAAAGAGAATGATTTCTGTAGGCATTTGCCACCTAATGTTGAGGGTTGAGAAAAATGACCTCACGCTCTACTGCAGAGCACTGACTGTCTGGACCACCCTGCTCTATGAGCTGGGACAGATACACTGTAGCAATGGAAGGAAATATTCTCATGGGTTCTACTTTATCAAATTGAACTCACAAAGTCTCTCCTACTTATCTTGCAACTAGAGTCTCGATGCATGAAATTGGTGCAATGGATCCGACGCACGCGGTTTTGGAGGCTGCCTCGGCCCCCGCTCGCCACAACAGCAGCCTCTGCCTCGGCCACTGCCGCCACGGCTTCATCCGGAAGGTCATCTGGAAGTACGTCTGGATGTCCAGTCTAATTAGCATAATACACTTTTATTATTATAGATTGGAAATGGGGCCAGAAAGAGTCTGCTTCCTATGTTTTGCTGTGCTCGAAAGTGTAGTGTCTAGTGACCAAGCTTCCTTTTGATGGAGTGTTCCATCCTAAACTGGCTGTATTCACTGAAGAGCTGGAGAAGTCATACTGTGCTACGCAAAGTAATGTAACTGCTCCTAAGGGAAGGAGTCCAGAAAACTAATGCTATTTAAGTTTGACATTGTTATTCTATGACTAGAGGCCCCGTGCACATATTCATGCACAGGAGGAGTCCCTTTGGGTGGCCTGTGGGGATCGGGCTGAAACCCACAGTCCAACTCTGCCTGTAGCTCTTACCTGCCACCCCCGCTCATACTGCCCCACTGTGCCGGCCGTGGGCTGGCACCCAGTTAGTCCCTATCCAGAGAGGCTCGTACGCCAGCAGCAGTGCTTGCCACCCCTGAGCCCTGCATCTGGTGCCTTCCTGAGTGCAGTGGCCTGCAGGATTGGGTCGAAACTGCCTCTCCAACATCCCCCAAGGGGTCCCAGATTATGAGAGGGTGAGGCCAGGCCAAGAGACCCCACCAGTACATAATCAGGGCTGGGAGGGACCTCGGGAGGGCTCCAGGGTGTGTCCGGCCCATCTCACTCATTCCTAATAGGCCAGACACCTGCAGCAGGCTACCTATTGGTTAGAGTGTCTGCCCCCTGGTGGTCAGTGCAGGTCATAGCGAGCAGTTGAGCTGCATTAGCATATCATTAGCATATTATGCTTTGATTGGTTGAACAGTTGACCGGACTACCAGACACTTAACATATTAGGTTTTTATTATATAGGATTCTGCTTCTACTAATGTTGCCATTTTCTGTCAGCCTTATGGGATTTGGTTGGGATTATGTTCATTGTAGATAGCAGTTGATAGGTAGGTATCAAATTTTAAAAGAGCCCATTCTCTTTTATTCTTGGATTTGATATATTTAAAAGGAGAAAGTAAGTGTTGTTAATGGCCTACTAATAATATAATTAATAGTCCCTCTGGTATAGTCTTTGTGTGTGGTCCTAAAGGAATACTTTATAACAAAGCATTACTCTGATACTTTTAGTGTCTTGCATTTTTCTATTGTTGTTTTAAAATGTATTTTACTTTTTTCCTTAATAGTGCATGAGCTCTCTGAAGAAGACCCTTTATGCAGGTAGGATTTTATGGGTTTTTAAAAACTATAAGTTACCTAAGGGAAAGCAGAGAAAAGAAACTAAAAGTTCTAGAGTGTTCTACTATGTGCTAGACCCTATATTATATATAACCTGTGTTATATAATCATCACAATAGCTGTCAATGTAGCTGTGTATTGTAGCCTACTTTTTATTAATGAGGCAACTATAATTCAGGGAGGTGGATGAATTGACCCATGATTCTATAGTTAGCAAGTGGCCAACCCATGATTTGACTGTCAACCTGTTTGACTTCCCAGTCTATTCTGTTGTCCCTCAGCATACACTGATAAGTTCGTATGTAGCGCTGGCATTGAGATATAAATGTGAATCAGACCAACTCAGAAAGTGAAGTCTGATTGTGTGTTAACTCTGATTTAGAGATTTCCTAAGAGGCTTAATTAATCTAAGCATTTATCTTACTCTCCTTGACAATTGTAGTGGTAAATAGGACCTTGCTCTTCCTACCAAAGCTTTTAGGACCCTTCTCAGTTAGCTATGGCCACAGAACCAAAGGTTGTACCTAAGCAAGGCCTCATCAGTCAAGCGTTGTTAGGTAAAATTATATCTATTTTTCTTGGAATGAATTACAGTGGGGCCTTGACTTACGAGTTTAATTCGTTCCGTGACGGAGCTCGTAACTCAAATTACTAGTATGTCAAATCAATTGTGAACGAGTGAGACATGTGATGCTGGGCTGATGTTGTGGCGTTCACTGTGACATTTGCTGCACCAACTAGTGGTGGGGTATCTGAAGCTGGCTCGTAACCCGAATTTTAGCTCGCAACTCAAAGCAAAAAATGGACTGAGAGACGGCTCATATCTCAAAAAACTCGTTAGTTGGGACACCCGTAAGTCAAGGCCCCACTGTACTTACCTGTAAGTAAAGAATATCTATGTATAGTTCATGTTATATTAATTAAATTCAGCGTGTATTTAGAGGATATTTCTAATTAATTCCTCTATTTACTGACTTCCCAGCCTGGTTTTCTCTTTAGGCTACGACCTTTGCCTAGTTGTATGAGGTATTTTCCTTGATCCTATGGTATTTTTTCCTCTTCCATGAATTTTTGATTTATTTTATTTTATTCTCTGCTTTTTTAGTGTTTCTTCATTGTGTTTTTTCCCCCAATGCTGCCAGCTATGGTGTTCTCCATGTTTCTATAGACAGAATCAAAGGCACATAGAATTTCAGTAGTTTAAGGAAGCCTAGTAATTAATTAAACAAAACTGCCTCTAGCTATTCAACCTGTGTTTAATATCATGGCTAACTAATTGTTGGCATAGAATACTGGAAATGAAAAGAGATTAAAGTGACTCATTGGGATATATAAGGTGGTGACATAAATTCAGGTTGCTAAGTGTAATACACTACCTTCTTTATCAAATCTGTAGGAAAGTTTCATAATAGAAATATGGGGAGTGGTAGTGAACACAGGGGGTAAAAATGGAATTAGCAGGAGAATCCCAAGTTTCAAGAGGAACAACACTAGGTTGGAATTGAAGATGAGAATATTGGGGTTTGTGACAAATTAAAGGTAAGTTTTAATAAGGAAGGCCATAGGATGTTGGGAGTTCTCTAGAAAGGCAGATTAAAACATGAGGCTCAAGGAAGTCCTGAAGATTGCTACTCTTCTATTTGTTTAATAGAAGGAAATAGAACCATTCAAGTTTTCTTTACAAAGATATTTAAAACATTGGAGCCACTGGAAAGATTCTTTTAATCACAAATAGGACTGTGGTCTCATCAACCTGAACTCTGACTCACAGAGTGGGACTTAGGTACCCTTGAGTCCTAGGGTGGGCTCAAATGGAAAAAAAATAGGAGCTCTCTGTTTCCCTGGCAAACAAACTAAATGGAGTCGGAGTGATCCACTCATTACATAGGCGTGTTACCCAACTCCATTACTGATGTGACATCTAGTCCTTCCCCTGCCCAACTCTCTGTGTACATGGGAAGCACATCAGCTAATTGGGGTTGATCCTCATGGGGCTACACACAGTATACAAGCTGCTGTTCAAAGACTGACCCCATGTGAAGTAATTCATGCCAGCTCGGTGTGGTGCCTGCCCAGATTTCTGTTTGGGTTTCTGCTTGTGGAGCTAATTGGGTCATGCTCTGAAGCCCCCCACTGAGTGTGTTGGTTCTGGGGCCTCTTGGGAGGGACTCTCTTGCAAGTCAATGTCAGCCTCTGCCTGTGATTTCCCCTGGGCTACCTGTGTGGATCTACAAAGCGATCCAGCTTGTGACTGCCTCTGCTGGGCCTGGGTGCACCTGGAAGGGGCCAAGCTGCAGAGCAATGCCTCCTTCTACCAGCACCAAGCCCATGGGGCAGCTAAGCAAAAAGCCCAAGTCACTCCGAGATCCACCTCCACCTACCAGCTTTCTGTTGGGGCCAGTCACTGAAAGAGCTCCTGTTGGTATGTGAGTTGCATGAGGTAAGTGAGTCATCAGGTAGGTGCCAGTGGTGTTCACCATGTTGTTGCCGATTCAAACTTGGCTTCATTTTTCGGTATTAAGCCCAGTCAGCAAAAGTCCCAGGGTACACAAATGCCAGTTATCACCCACCGGGTACCTGTGGACCTTTGTGTTTAATGGGCCTCAGGGAGTCATTAGGGTAAGGCCAGCAGAATTCATCAGGCCCCCAGGTATCAAGATTTGGCTGTGTGAAGAGAGGGCTCAGCACTGGAATGGTGGCCTCAGTTAGACCAGCAAGGGAATAAAAGCCCCAACCCAAAGTCACATGACTCAATCTCTGACACCCCGAGTCCATCCCGACCTCCTTAAGAGACCTCCATGAAAGTCTACACCATGGGCCCAGGCAGCTGGCTCCTTTGTACTGTATAGCTTTACAGGGTCGGGGACAAGGATTCAGGATGTATGTTCCCCAGGCTGAGGCCATAAGGTAGGGAGGGCTTGACCCAGGGGTGACGGCATCTGGGAGAGGGACTCAGCACAGGGAGGGCACCCAGAGGCCATCCCCTCAGCTCTCTCCCAGAGCCACACAAAGCAGTCTCTCTTCACATGACTCCCAGTGCACTCTGAGCCACCCTTTCTTCATAGGCCCCAGGGTGAGTGGTGGGACCTTGTGTTCCGGACCTTTAAGAGGGCTCCTGGGTTCCTAGCAGACTCCCACCTCTTCCGGGAGGGTAGAAGCCCTGCTGATTTTCACAGCCAGATGTCCTGTGAGCTCCTCTTCCAGGCTCTGGTTCTCAGGGCATTGTGATCATTTTCAGAAGATGACCAGGGAGAGTCTACTAGGGACCGAGGGTCTGCTTGAGATGGAGGAACAATTTTGAGAGAGGTTTCTTCTCCTTCAGGAAATGTTTGTAATGCTGCAGAGACAGACATTCCAAATGCATCTTTCCTTCACAATCAAGCATTTTGCCTGTCAAATTAGAAGGCATTTGTCTTAAGCTTGCTCCTTCTTTAGAGTTATCATTTTATTGATTTTTTACAGAGAAGAAGGGAGAGGGATAGAGAGTTAGAAACATTGATGAGAGAGATCGATCAGCGGCCTCCTGCACGCCCCCCAGTAGGGATGTGCCCACAACCAAGGTACATGCCCTTGACCGGAATCGAACCTGGGTTCCTTCACAATCAAGCATTTTACCTGTCAAATTAGAAGGCATTTGTCTTAAGCTTGCTCCTTCTTTAGAGTTATCACGTAGTGGCTCTTCCTCAGGGCACTCAGTCATTTTGAATTTTACAGAAAATTCATGTGACCTCTGCTTTGACTCATCTTCCGAAAGTAGTAAGTTCTTCCTCTGCTCTAATGTGCCTTGTTTGACGCACATTTCCTCATCCTTTTGCACAGAACGGTGTCCTGAATATGCAGATGTGTCCTCTTTGTCACATGCCCTATTTATTTGTGACTCTTGAGACATTTTTTCTAGATGCAAAGGTGGAAGATGAATATGCTTGCTTTGATTTTCAGATGTCTTTGCTGTTGGGGTATATGTTTTTGAAATAATTTATCCTTGAGTAATCAAGTATGGACAAAGATAAGTTAGAATATAATTAAAATTTAACTGTTAGGATTCTTAATTTATGATTAGTTACTTCCAATCACAGGATTGAAACTGAGAAGTAAGGAATAATAATAACTTGCGTTGGTCTAAATAAAAATAAAAATATGAACCCTCACACCTAATTTTGCCACTATTGGAATTATACAATTTATTAGATGCTAAATCTATCAAAATTAAATTACTAGCTGAATTTTAACATTACAGATGCTTCCTTCCTCACTTAAAATATTTCACCTCACCATATCCTAACGGTGAGCCCCTAAAGTGCAGAATTTGTTAGGGGTGCTCCAAGATGGAGGCAAAAGAGGTGAAAGTCACACTCACCTCCTCCCTGGGCCAAATTGGAACGACAACTAAATTATATAACTACCAACCTGAAGACTAGCTGAACATTAGTCTTATACCCAAGATCTAAGAAGACGCCTCAGCTACACTGGCAGGAAGGACAGAGTTTCCAAAAGGGCTGGCCCCACATCCACTTGTGGTGGCTGAGAATGCAGAGGCATGTCTCAGGGCAATGGTCCCCCTGAGGAGCATGTGGTCTCAGCCACACGCTGGGCTCCCACCCTTGTTTCAGGAGTCTGTGCCCTCATAAGCTGAAGATGTCAATGTTCTGGAGCCTGCAGAAGGGTGATCTGGGAGTGGGAAGGCTAGCAACACAAGCATTTGTTTTTTGACATTTGGACATATAACTTTCAACCATTTCAGGAACTTCCTGTATAGTTTTAAGATATAAGGAAGGGATGGGTTCTCCTTAATAGTTGGTTTCCATGCTAAAGGAGCAAGACTGACATCCTTTAGTCTTTGGACCGGAGACAGATGATGAGGAAGATGATGAGGAAGGGACAGTGTATCTTCCTACCTTGACTTAGGTCATCAGATGTGTTCCAGTTTAGGGAATAAAAGTTATGTCCGCCATTAATTGGTGAAAACAAATTAATCTCAGGCAGAGTGTGTCTTCATTAAATAGCTCACAGGTTGGGAGAGGTAGCAGCAGAAATAGATAATGGAAAGTGTTTAAAAAAAAAAAAACAACAAAAAACTAAGGCCCAGTGTTAATTATATTAAGAATCTTTATTTGATATATAGATAGCTGATTTTTCACTTAAATTGTTTTGTTGTTTTTTCAAAGAAATGGACTCACTCATTTGTGTTGTATATTTTACTACAAATCTCGCATTATTGATTCATGCCCTACATCAGACCATGAAGACTTGAAGGTAAAGTGATCTCTTGTGAAATTAATTTTCCTGTTCTGAATTGAATTATGTGTATCACTTACTCTTAAAGTTTCTAGTGGCTTCCCTATCATTGTTTTATGTTTGCAATGTAAAATTAGTCATTATTGTTAAATCCTTCAGTGAGGAAATATGTTTTGAATTGATTTTTAGAGAGAGAGGAAAGGACTGGGAGAGATAGAGAAAGAGAAACATTGATGAGAGGAGAAACGTTGATTGGCTTTCTCCTGCATGGCCAATCATGGGAATGAACTGACAATCTGTGTATATGCCTTGACTGGGAATTGAACCCGTAACCCTTCCGTGCATGGGACAACACTCCAACCACCAAGCCCCACAGCCAGAGCAGAAAATATATTTATTTTATTGCATGGTTCTTTTTATATACAATGTCCACAAAAAGGTGGGTCCATAGAGACACAAATCAATCAAACAGGTGGTTGTCAGAGACTTGGGTAGGGGGGATGGGGAGTCTCTATTTCATGGGAATGAGGTTCCTTCTGGAGAGATTGAAAGGTTTTGGAACTAAATAGAGGTGATCATTGCATAGCATGGTGCATGTGGCAAATGCTACTGAATTTTTTACTGGTTTACTTTATGTTTGGTGAACTTTAATCATTAAAAAAAGAATATTGTCATAATCAATCAATCAGTCAAATGAAGATAATGTTACCCCTTTTAAAACAATCCAGTAGACTCATTTAAAACATGTCTCCTGGTGAAAGGTTACATTGTTAATTTGAGATTTTTCCTG